ACGCAGTGACCAGAGCCCCGGGCCCTTTAAAGCGCCACCTGAGCCCTGCTGCTGGAGCCCCTGGGGTAGCGGCGGCAGGGCTCCGGCCGCGCTTTAAACGGCCCTGGGCTCCAGCTGCTGCAGGGAGCCCCAGGCCCTTTAAAGCGCCCCCAGGGCTCTCTGCAGCGGCCAGAGCCCCCGGGCCCTTTAAAGCCCCCTCCGAGCCCTGCTGCCGGAGCCCCGGGATAGCAGCGGCAGGGATCCAGTGGTGATTTAAAGGACCCAGAGCTCTGCTGTGGTAGTGGCGGCCAGAGCCCATGGCCGTTTAAATCACCCCTGAGCCCCGGGGCTCCCAGCTGCCTCTGCAGCTGAGAGCTCTGGGGGGATTTAAAGGCCCTGGGGCTCCGAGCTGCAGCCGGAGCCCTGGGGCCTTTAAATCTTGATTTAAAGGGCCCAGGTATTTAAAGGCCCCGGCTCTTCTGGTTGAGGCCACACCCCCTGCTCAGGACTCCTGAGTACTGGTAAGTCCTTTAAGTTACTTTCACCCCTGCTTGTGGGAGAGGTGCAGGCATGTTGGTAAATCTCAAGAGGTATTGCCTCAGGTGGCTGATGGAGTGACAGTGCTGGGGAAATAGTGTTGAAAATGAATGCTTTCTCCCGATATTCCTCAAGCTAAATTTAAGCCAAAACCCTGTAAAAGTCCATATTACAATGAACGTTTGATTACTGGGCATGCAGCATTGCAGCCTGAAAGTACAGAATTGGGTCCAAAGAAGGAAATATTTTTAACCAAGTTTTGAATTTCTCAACAGCACCATGTTTGAAGGCTATTCTTTCCCATGCACCCATCAGCACAGACTTATTGGTTATTTTACAGGCTATTTCTCTTGGCTTATTATGGAGTTTTTATTAACTTTCTATTAAAGAATTTGTGTGCTGTGTAAAAAGAGGCTTCAAAGAAACATAAAGACAAGCCTGAGGCACTGGAGAAACGTTTTCTCAAATGTCTGACAAGAAAGGCAGATGGCAGCTGAAGGCAGATTTCAAGGCTGTGTTGTCACTATTGGTTTTAATAGCCATAGAAACTAGAAGGCATGCAGCTTTAGATACTAGTGAACTCAGCCTACCTCAACTTGTAGAGTGGGGGAAACGGAACGTGTGTATGAAACTCCAGACAAAATTTGATATTTGTCATCTGCGGAGGTGACAGTCTGGTCCCATTAAAGCCAATGGCAAAATTCCCATCAACTTCAGTGGTGCTAGGATTTCACTCAGGTGATTTAGAAATAATAAAATGCTATTAATCAAAAGGCAATGTAGAAAGCTGGAGGGGGAAAAAAGAAAGATTTGTAATTGCAGGAGGAAGGCACTAATGTTATTATAGAAGTGCTCAAAGACAATACCTTGTTGCACCAAAAGCAAGAGGCAGTGCAGACTGTTCAGTGTGGCCAAAGTCTAGGCAATTTGGGCAGGTTGAGACACTAACCATTCAGGGTGGGTTTTCACAAAAAAGAAAGCAACAGAACCTAAAGGGAAGATAAACAGTACTGTATTTTTGAATAGTACAGTTTTTTTCTAAGAAGGGACCTGGTGCCTCCTATGTGAATTCTGATCTTTCTCACCTTCCTTTATATTAGGGAGGAGTAAAGGTCAGGGTTGCCTCATACTTTCAGATTTCACTAGCTTCCCCCTTGTTAGACCTTCTGAATATTGTCTGGAAAATTGTAATTGAATGTTCATCTATGCGGATTAACCTCATCTTCCCAGCTGTAATCTCTTCAGAAGGAGACTGATTCTCCTTTCTATATTGAAAGAAGTCTTTCGAATGGGGGAATTAATTTAAGAGGGATTCTAAGGTGCCTCTTGTGGCTCACTTTTGTTTGAGCTAAGGACTATATCATAAACGGAGGTCTGCAGACAGGGTGTCATTTATTTGCAAAGGAAAAACATCCAGGGAAACAAGCCCAGAAGAGAAAATTAATCACCTTAAAGAACGAGCTTGTGCTTTTTAGAATATATGCAACTGTCTTGTTTCCAGCCAGTATCATTTGCTGTCAGTAAAGGACAGTAATGGACTTTCTGAGTCTGATGGTAAGCTTTAGTGTTGGCACAGCTTAAGGTTTCCGGAAGAGATGCTTGTTTGGCTCAGATGAAGATATAACGTTGAATCAAAATCAGAAACAATAGGGTTCATCTTACTAACTCTCCAAGAATTATACTGAAAAGGCCCAATCCTGCTCCCTTTGAAGTCAATCAGTAAACTCCCATTGAGTTAAATGAGAGCGGGAACAAACCTAACATTTTTACTTTTGATTTTTTGATGGCTTTTCCTGTGAGAGTTCCAACTTGTATAGCCAGCATGTAACATTTGACATCAAAAAGAAGGTCTGGTTTTCACTTAATCAATACTTTGATCCATTAATCCCTTTCAAGTTACTTTCTTTAGATCTTGCCATTACAAGGTCCACTCTTTGTGAAGGACTTCATACCAAGTGGCAACTCATGATGTATTCTTTATTTTCCTCTCATTCCACCACTAATTAACAGATCAATACATAGGAGGCTAAGAATTAGAGCTGGTTGGGAATTTTGCATCAGAATGATTTTCTGAAAGAAAATATAGTTTTCACAAAATCAAAAACCTTTCATGGGAGAACTTCAATTTTGCCAAAATGTTGATTTTCCATTGGAAAAATTGAAACAAAAGATTTCATTTCGGGGGGGTTCAACCCAAATTGGAATATTTTGATTTGTTGAACCCTTAATTCTTTGTCAGCTCAATATTCAATTGCATTTCCCTATTGTGCCACATTGCCCCATGGGAATCGTAGTTTGAGCCCCCATTCCCTCCTATGGGCTGTGCTCCTGGAAATACTACAGCTCCCATGGTGTAATACGAATTCTCCTCTGACTAAGCTGTGTGGTACTTCATGGAAGTCATGTAGATGTAGGCGCATCATAGAAGACATAGTCCCACCAGGGAGGCTGGCCCATAGGAGATAATGGGGCCCCCCAGGCAACCTGAACTCCCACAAGTCACTTGTATATTAGAACCTCAAAGATATGAGCATCAGAGTGACAGACTGGCTGGTCAACCAGACACCAAGTGAAAACAAAAGTAACCAATCAGGCAGCAGCAGATCCCTCCCGCCCCCCACACAAATATTGTATTGTGCCTTTATTACATCTTAAAGGTAGGCACATCTGGGCTGCCTATCTAATGTTGAACTGACTCAAAACAAAGCATTCCAGGTCCATTCAACAAACCAAAATGAAAATATTTTGATTCAGAAAGTCAAAATGTTTTGTGTTGATTGAAAATGGAGAAAAACATTTTCACATTTCCAAATTGAAGTTTTTCAGACTATTTTGTTGTGTGAAAACTTTTGGTCTCAACTTTTCATCTCCAGAGCAAAAGTTGAAATATTATAATTTCCCAGAGGATGGAATTTCTGAATTTCACTCACCTCTACTATGAATATTTTAGGCTGACAACCCTGTGAGGCATAATCCACAGGTCTGAGGACAGGACTGGGAGCTAGGAATTTCTGAGTGCTAATTCTACCTCTAACATGGCTTCCCCTCTCTAGCCTTGGACAAATCTCATTGCCTCTGCCTCCACTTCACCGAGTGTAAAATGGAAAGAAAGTTTGTTTCTAAGTCTCATGTGTGTGGTTTGTAATGTTGTCTAGTGACCTGATTCTGCAAGGATTTAAGCATGTGCTTAATTTTACATGGTGTGAGCAGTCCTGCTGACTTCAGTGGGACTACTAAGAGTGAGTAGAGCATAAGAATAGCCATACTGGGTCAGACTAAAGGTCCATCTAGCCCAGTATCCTGTCGTCCAGCAGTGGCCAATGCCAGGTGCTTCAGAGGGAATGCACAGAACAGGTAATCATCAAGTGATCCATCCCATATCACCCATTCCGAGCCTCTGGCAAACAGAAGCCAGGGACACTTCAGAGCATGGTTTTGCATCCTTGCCTATCCTAATAGCCATGGATGGACTATCCTCCATGAACTTATCTAGTTCTTTTTCTAACCCTGTTGTAGTCTTGGCCTTCACAACGTCCTCTAGCAAAGAGTTCCACAGGTTGACTGTGCGTTGTGTGAAGTATTTCCTTTTGTTTGTTTTAAGCCTGCTGTCTATTCATTTCATTTGGTGGCCCCTAGTTCTTGTGTTATCAAAAGGAGTAAATAACACTTCCTTATTTATTTTCTCCACACCAGTCATAATTGTATAGACCTCTATCATATTCCCCCCTTAGTCGTCTCTTTCCTAAGCTGAAAAGTCCCAGTCTTTTTAACCTCTCCTCATACGGAAGCCGTTCCATACCCCTAATCATTTTTGTTGCCTTTTCTGTTTCTTTTCCAATTCCAATATATCTTTTTTTGAGATGGGGTGACCAGATCTGTATGCATTTATTTCTACCTTTTGTTTCCTATATTTTAACCAGTTACTGATCCATAAGAGGACCTTCCCTCTTAACCCACAACTTCTTCCTATACTTAAGAACTTTTGGTGAGGGATCAGGTCAAAGGCTCTCTGAAAATCTAAGTATACTATATCCATTGGATCACCCTTGTCCACATGCTTGTTGACTCCCCGCAAATAATTCTCGTAGATTGGTGAGGCATGATTTTCCTTTACAAAAATCATGTTGACTCTTCCCATCGTGTTGTGTGTCTGATAACTGTTAAAGAACAGAATTAAGTTAAGTTAAACATGTTAAATTCTCAGAGACTATTTCCTGGAGTCCCATGGGAGGCGCCGGGACTCCTGCGGCCTTGGTTCATAGTATAAAATAATTTGAATATTAAAAAAAATTACATATTTCATTGCAGGAAAGTCCTTTATGAGCCATGTGTAAGAGTTTAGTACATTGTGTACAGTGTAAAATACTCTAATAAAAATGTGATAATTTAAACCTAATACCATCAGCAGAGGTAACTCAAAGTGTAACTAACTTTACAAGCATTCACAGCAGTGGTTTTCATGAAGTTAAGGGACAGTACTTTACCTTTGCAGTGGAAAGGCTAATAATGTGCTGATCTTTTTCATTTGTGACAATCTCCATGACACTAAATAAGTGTCCCAACAGCTTCCCCACTGGTTTGGTGTTTATATTGGGATGCCATAAACGGAGAACTTTATCATCACCTGTGAACAGAAAATATCCATGGCCCATTCTGTGTCCAACATGCAGACTATCGCAAAATAGATTCTGAATAAACAGCCTAGTTTTTTAAAAATGGCTACCAGGACTGCAAACACAAATCCTGCTTAAATCTTTGTATTTTTCATACCAAGGGCTTGATGCTCAGTTGCCTCTAGACCCCGTTACACTGCTTAAAGTGTAATTAACTCACTCTTTAAGGCCCTTTAATGTTGCCAAAGTGGTGAAAAGGTGTAAATGAGAATCAAGCCTTTTGTACCCATCTGTGCAAATGTGATGTTTGCACACAATTTAGGAAGCCACTTTTGAAATTTGATCCTCATATTATATAGTAGTTTTTTCCTGCTAATTATTTCAAACATTTTCCAGCAAAACCCAAAGCAACACCAACACACCTGGATTTTGGCTCAGATACAAACCCCAACGCTTAAACCAGCTGCACTGAAAAGTTTGCTATATTTCACATGCCTTTAAAGAGAACCTGGGCCCAATTTCAAACAGACATTAACATATTTATGGTGTGGCATCAAAATCATACCAGATTTATGGCTTTATTAACAGTTAAATACTGAGAAGCCTTTAGCACCATATAAAAATCAACTTAGCCCTTCCTAAATAGCTTAAGGCACAAAACCAGTTACAACTTGATAGTTATCACTAAGTTTTACTTGGTCACTCCAAACTTGAAGCAGAACTCAGAGAGCAAAAGCACATGGATCAAAACTGGAGGACATTCACCCGAACCTCAGAACCAAGTCAGCCAAATTTCACACAGCTTTATTTGTTATTTACTTTGAGAAGTATAATCTTAAAGCTTTTTGAGGAAGAGACTGCACAGATGCATTGTCCTTTAGACCTGGGCCATTCAGAGTATAAACTAGTGCCTCTCCCAACCTGCTCTACAAACACACTACACAGAACAACAACTCAAGTCACCCTTTGCCTGGATTTAGTTCTATTAACAAAGAAAAGAAAAAAATAGATGTCAGCTCAAATCTTCTTAGGGTTCTTCTCTGAGGACCACTGCATTCTCTCCCCAGAGAGTCACTCCATTCCTTCTTTATACCTAGGTGGGGCAATAAGTCATCTGCCTTAGTGAGCCAAAAGAATGCATATAAACCTTTTACAGCTGGATCAACACTTAACCAGGTGGCAAGCACTGTCAGCCTATAAAAATATAATGACTGGTCTGCTGGAGTATTCCAGTGCATTCATTTCAGCATTGTATGAAATAATTCACCAAATTGCTAAATTATTCAAAACAATCCAGATAAGAAGACACACAGTTTTAAAGTTAAGTTGGTTTAAAGTTTTTGGGAAAATACATAAGTTTCCTAGCAGATGGAACCCAATAAAATGCAAATCACAGAAGACATAGCCCTGGCTGGGATGATTTAACTGGGAATTGGTCCTGCTTCGAGCAGGGGGTTGGACTAGATGACCTTCTGGGGTCCCTTCCAACCCTGATATTCTATGATTCTATGATATTCTGGTCCATAAGAAATCAAAAGGGGAAAAAAAATCTGCCATCTGGTAATGAATCAGCTGTGTTTCAGCTGTGGCTTTTTAGAGCTTAAATTAGGCCAATATGGGTTTGTTACATCATACTGGTCCTTTCTCCAGCCTTTCACTGCCTTTTAGTTAGAGTGGGGACTAGTAGAGAGGAGACCAGGGATCAGTTCTTGACTTGGTTAGTGTGTAAATTTGGGTAAGGAAAGCAAGGCCAAGGAAGGGCATCTGTTAAAATGGAGAAGAGAATGTAACTTTATAAATGATTTTCAGATAAAAGGTGCTGTGCATGTGGAAAACAGTATTTATCATTAAATTTGTAGGTCCAGTTAGGAGACACATGAAGAGATAAGTCTGTTCATTTTTCCGGGTTCATCAGGGAACCGTCAGATCTTAGCTGTCAGTGTTACTAACCACTGGTATATAATGCAATGATGTGGTCACACAAATGACTGTAATTACCCCTTTCCCTTTAAGTCACCACATATCTAGGATTTCATGTTTGAGAAGTTAAGTCTCTTGTCTTTAGGCACAAAATGTGAACCAAGAATAAGGGCAGCTAGTTGTTTTCAAGGGTTGCTGGGGAGGAAGTCAATCCTCACCACTGAATTTAAACTGGTCCCCACCCCACCTCCCACCAATGGGGAGGGAAAGAGGAGATGCCACTGCTCCCCAGTACCAAGGACACCCTCCTCATGTTTTTGAACGTCTGCATCGATCCCACATGCATCTGCCAAAACCCAGCTTCCCTTCCAGGGTGACCTCTCTGATGGAGCAATGTGACCACAATACCAATATTTGCAGTATATAGGGAATCTGAGAGCACTATAAAATAAACAGATTTGAATATCAAAACACCACAAATTATTACTTGTATTATGGTAGTGCCTAGAAGCCCCAACCTAGACTAGGGTCCCATCATATTAGCTTTTGGCCACTCTCACATAAATTTCTACCCCAAAGTGCTCATAGTCTAAATAGACGAGGCAGACAATGGGTTGGAGAAATAAATGTGCTGCCCATTTTACAGATGGGAAACAGAGGCAGAGAGAGACTAAAGGTCAGTTTTTCCCAAGTGCTCAGCATCTGCAGCTCTTGCCAGATTTTAAAGAAAGCTAGGCTGCCATTAGGCACATGCAGTGCCCAGAAGCGCCCATTGTTCTCAGTGGGAATTAGCGACCAACTAACAGCATTTGAGGAGACTTTGAAAAGCACAAATGGCTGCAAGGTGCCCCTCTCCCACTGATGGCCAATGGGAGATAGGCAAATAGTTGCCATTTGTGCCTTTACAATTCTCCCTCTATGCCAAGCTTCATCAGAGAAATTACCCAATACACCCTTTTAGTTAATTTAATAGTTCTTTTGAAAAATACAACCCTTACTAGACCCAAGGTCACACAGTCAGTCAGTAGCAGAGCTAGGCTTTGAACCCACTGTTCCCAAGTACTAAGACAGTACCTACTGTGACGAAGTTCCTCCTCTGCCTTGGTGGGTCCTGCACTTATTGGCGGATTTTGCTCGCCTCAGAGATTCACAGTAGCCCTCAGTTTGGCCACTTTCGTGGCTCAAATCTGCCGTTCACTCAGATAACCTCATCACTGGCCAGCATGGGGAAAAGGAAGGAGAACAATCCCCACAGTCTCTGCTGGTCCACCTAGTGGGTCGGGAGATAGGCCAGGGACCGTCCCCTCTGGTGGGACCCACAGTCCAAGTCAACTCCTCCTGTATCCAATAGGGCCATGGGGGGGAACCTGGGCTGGGCCCACCCTGTACTCTGGGTTCCAGCCCAGGGCCCTGTGGATCACAGCTGTCTATAGTGCTTTGTATAACACCTGTGTGGCAGCTACAACTCCCTGGGCTACTTCCCCATGGCCTCCTCCCAACACCTTCTGTATCCTCACCACAGGACCTTCCTCCTGATGCCAGATAGCATTTGTACTCCTCAGTCCTCCAGCAGCATACCCTCTCACTCTCAGCTCCTTGTGCGCACCTCACTAACTGGAGTGGGAGTCTTTTTAAACCAGGTGTCCTGATTAGCCTCAATTAATTCTAGCAGCTTCCCAATTCACTACAGGTTTCCTAATTAGCCTGCCTGCCTTAATTAGTTCTAGAAAGTTCCTGAGTGTTCTGGAATAGTCCCTGTTATTTTACCGCGTGAAAAGGGACCTGCTTAACCTGGAACTAATGTATCTACCTTTGACCACTCTTTTGTAGCCATCTGGCCTGACCCTGTCACACTACTTACAAGACCAGCCTTCCCTAGAGAGTGAACTGCTTGTATTTGAGTTCCTTAAAACTTCCATTTTTGAGTTTACTGAGTTCTGCAGCTGAAGTCCCAGTTGGCTGCAGCATCAGGGACCTTCTTGTAGGTTTTAGGTCCATCTTGCCATAAAGTAACAAGAGGCCTTGTTTATAATGTGTTCAGGAGCAGAGCCCTCAGCCTGCAGATTGCAGGAGGACAATCCTGAAGCACTTACATGAGAGGAAAGTGATCAGGAACAGTCAGCATGGATTCACCAAGGGAAGGTCATGCCTGACTAATCTAATCGCCTTCTATGATGAGATTACTGGTTCTGTGGATGAAGGGAAAGCAGTGGATGTATTGTTTCTTGACTTTAGCAAAGCTTTTGACATGGTCTCCCACAGTATTCTTGTCAGCAAGTTAAAGAAGTATGGGCTGGATGAATGCACTATAAGGTGGGTAGAAAGTTGGCTAGATTGTCAGACTCAACGGGTAGTGATCAATGGCTCCATGTCTAGTTGGCAGCCGGTGTCAAGTGGAATGCCCCAGGGGTCGGTCCTGGGGCCGGTTTTGTTCAATACCTTCATTAATGATCTGGAGGATGGTGTGGATTGCACTCTCAGCAAATTTGTGGATGATACTAAATGGGGAGGAGTGGTAGATACGCTGGAGGGTAGGGATAGGATACAGAGGGACCTAGACAAATTGGAGGATTGGGCCAAAAGAACTCTGATGAGGTTCAATAAGAATAAATGCAGGGTCCTGCACTTAGGACGGAAGAACCCAATGCACAGCTACAGACTAGGGACCGAATGGCTAGGCAGCCGTTATGCAGAAAAGGACCTAAGGGTGACAGTGGACGAGAAGCTGGATATAAGTCAGCAGTGTGCCCTTGTTGCCAAGAAGGCCAATGGCATTTTGGGATGTATAAGTAGGGGCATAGTGAGCAGATCGAGGGACGTGATCGTTCCCCTCTATTCGACATTGGTGAGGCCTCATCTGGAGTACTGTGTCCAGTTTGGGCCCCACACTACAAGAAGGATGTGGATAAATTGGAGAGAGTCCAGCGAAGGGCAACAAAAATGATTAGGGGTCTGGAACACATGACTTATGAGGAGAGGCTGAGGGAACTGGGATTGTTTAGTCTGCAGAAGAGAAGAATGAGGGGGGATTAGATAGCTGCTTTCAACTACCTGAGAGGTGGTTCCAGAGAGGATGGTTCCAGACTATTCTCAGTGGTAGAAGAGGACAGGACAAGGAGTAATGGTCTCAAGTTTCAGTGGAGGAGGTTTAGGTTGGATATTAGGAAAAACTTTTTCACTAGGAGGGTGGTGAAACACTGGAATGCGTTACCTAGGGAGATGGTAGAATCTCCTTCCTTAGAAGTTTTTAAGGTCAGGCTTGACAAAGCCCTGGCTGGGATGATTTAATTGGGGATTGGTCCTACTTTGAGCAGGGGGTTGGACTAGATGACCTCCTGAGGTCCCTTCCAACCCTGATATTCTATGATTCTACAGGAGGGAGGGACTCTGGCTGATAGCAGCCTTCAGTGAGTGGGACAGTAGATCAGGTGTCACAGACAGAGCAAAGAGCACCCCAATTGTGTCTACCTTCAGAGTTCAATATGAAAAAAATAATGCTTTAAGTGACAGTGGATGGGGAACAGCAGACTGCCTCTGAGCAGGAAGAGTGCCCCTCCCATTACATTTCTGAAGATGAATTGGAATGGGGCTTTCTAACACCACTACTCTTTATGCTCTGACAGTGGCAGCAGACGAAGGGCAGGGAGGAAGAAGTGCAATCTGTATCCAGGGCCCCAACACAGAGAGTTGCATGAGGCTAAAATCATTAATGTCTATTATGCCCTCTGGTATTACCATGAAGAGCAAGTGCCACAGAGAAGCCTATCAATAAAATCCATTCAATGTTGTTGTGTTTGCTTAAGTGCAAGGGGGTTTGTTTATTGCTATTTTCAACTGGTCAGTTAGTTTTAGATCTTTTGTGTTGCTTATGTTAAATAATAAGATTGATTTTTGGATTGATTTTTAGGTTGTTCTCTCCCCTTTTCATGAATTACTGCTGTACTGATAGCTGGCACTGAAGAGATATTTGCTATCACCACTGCTACAGCAGAGTTATAGAAGCTCACCAGAACACTGGGAAGAATGATTAGTTCTCTCAATGGTCCAGTTATGCTTCTCGGATCAAATACCCTGACATGAAATGCACCAGGATTAAGCTCATTCGTAAGAAAAGATGAGCTGGGAGGGGATGGATCAGATCGCCAAACTTTAGCCTGGAAATACCTAGACTCCATGGAACCAGTGGTTTGTATCCCAGCAGGTTCAATTCAGCTCTTCACGCTTCCAAGTTACATGAAATAAAGAAGAGCGTGGCTTTCATTGATGAGACCTTAAAAACAGAGCTGTTTGTTCTAGGTGGATGTTAGAGATCCCCCAATACTTTAAAACTATGTCTACCCTGGAAATTGGACAAAACTTTTGTCTTTCAGAGGTGTTAAACCTTCCCCCCAACAGACAAAAGTTTTGCCGCAACAAGTGCCAGTCTGAACAACGCACTCTCCTGCCGACAACGCAAATGCCGCTCGTGCGGGGTCGACTTTTTCTGTCAGCAGGAGAGCCAACAAACAGCAGCTACACTGCACGACTTTTAGCGGCACAGCTGTGGCGACACAGCCATGTCGCTAAAAGCTGCGTAGTGTAGACGTAGCCTTAGTTAGGCCCAATGTCCTTGGCCAGAATGTCTCACTCCCCTACACTGTTGTTCAGTTTGCATTGCATTGTTTATCCTTCTGTTGCTACTCTTCTCTGAAGAGGTGTCTGCCTTAAGTGATTTCAAATGTCTGTACAGTGCTTTGAGATTGCATTGCTGCAGCTGTGCCCATGTAACGCGTCTAGTGCAGACGAGCCATAAGATACAATCCCAGTCAGACTGTATGGCAGTCCTAGCGCATGTTGTGTCTGTGGTGCTCACTGGACTGTCCTAAAGAGCTGTGAAGTCTAGGGTTAAACTTTTGAAGTGGTAAGTATGCCCCACTAACGCGAGTCATATGCCTGTATCCTGATGCACTTGTCTGAAGATGGATCCCTCAAAGGCTGAAGGGTCAGACATTTAACTCAATGTAATAAGTTAGGTAAAGTATTTTAATACGGCATTGTTCAAGACTTGGATGTCAAAGAGCTAGCTGGGAAAGGAAGTTGCTATGGTACTATAGCCATTCTAGAAGCCAATCTGTGTAGCTCCAAGGGCATATAGCACTGGAAAGTTACCCAAACTAAATTTAAAAAAAAGAAGTTTTATACTTCTCTGAAGCCATGACTCTAGAGCCTTTGGGGGACACACAAAAGGAATAATCCTTTTGTTGTGCCTTCCATGTTTTCTGTACCTCTTTGTACAAAAATAAGCTCTTCTATCTAGGAAGTGAAGATTGCAAATTCAAAATTATAAAATATTTGTATTATTTAACTGTATCATGATCATTGGATGGGGAGTTAGAGTGCCAGTGTTCCCGGGAGGGACAGTTATTGACAGGACACCAATAGGAATAGGGAAGTTAGCCTGAAGCAACTAAGCCATGTGGCCAGAGCAGTTCACAGGGTTTAATGAAGTTCCACTTGTTCAACGTAGATTGCATTCACCTTCAATCTTTGTGAATGAAACAGTAACTATTTAATCAGCCAACTGTGGCTAACATTTCAACATAGGGTCTTCATTAGAGCCTAAAAAGTGTCCCTTCTTTTGAGGAGGAAGAGCCTCATTAATACCAGAGTTTCAGGACTTGGACAAAAGTCAACCACCATGCAATCTGTAACATCAGCTAATATCCATTATCCATCTCATATAAATAAAGCAATTACCAGTTTAAAGTTATCAGTTTAAAGTGATCAGTTATAACTCACAATATTGTAACAAAAATCTAACTAAACTATAACCATTGAATAAGACATCATTAAATACGATTTCTGATCAACTATCAGCATAATTAATCAAATAATACCTGTAAATGTGAAAAGTACATAGGCTCTGATCCTGCAAGCTCTTAGGCCTTGTCTACACTAGAACACTGTACTGCTTTAACAATACCAATACAGTTAAAGGGGTACAATCCCCTCTAGTGTGGATCCAGTTATATTGGTAGAAAGAGCTATTCACCTATGAGAAGGGAAATAACTATACCAGTTTTATTACACCTTTGTACCTGTGTAACTGTGTCTGTACTAGGACTTTCACCAATACAAGTATTTTGATAATTAAAAAAAAAAAAGTCACACTGCTAACCAAAATAGTTATACCAGTACAACTCTTAAAGTGTAGACCAGGCCTGAGGCCCTGTCTACATGATAAGAAGGGTGCTTTTCCTCCTCTGAAGTTATCTTAACACAGTTGCAAATGCCCCTTAACACCAACATAGGCTTGAGTGTTAATGCTACAAAACAACCAGCTAACATGATTGTAAAGGTGTCAAACTGTGTCTACATAGGTGTTGCGGTGGAGTTTCCAATTGTGTTTAACTAACTTGATTGAGCTAAATTGATTGAAACCCCCCCACCTTTTTCATCATATAGGTACACCCTGTGGAATTTAACCTTAAAACTGAGAAAGCCGGACAGGAGAGAGATAGGGAGCTACAGTGGGATGAAACAGATGGAGTCTGTGGGGAGGAGTGGCAAACAGAGCACAGTGGGAGAGGTAGTTCTAGGCAGTGAAACAGCAATGTAAAATATGGTTGAGCACTGGGGAAGAAATGGACTGGACAATGCATCAGTCCTGCAGCCTTCTTTAGGAAACATAGAGATTAGTAAGAAACCGGGGGAGTCACACCACTGATCAATGCCAATGGTTCTTGGGTCAGAAAGGGTGGCAAGAGGGAACCGTTAAGAACAGGTCAGGGAGCATTTCTCAGGTCAGCAGTAGAGGAGTCACTGTGGAAGGGCGAAGATGCAGTCCTGAGGTCATAGCTCATAAGGGACCGTGGGTGGGAGAAGGTAAGGAAATAGTGTTGCAGTTAGGAGAGGTGGCTGGGTCATTTTATGTATTCCCAGACATGGTCTTTTCTCTTTTATTAAAGACACAGGAAACAATGTGTGAGTCAAATCCAGACTGAGCATTCACCACTTCGGTAATCAGGCTCCAATCAGGGACCATGGCCCCATTGTGCTAGGCATTATATGCACATATAACAAAGTCCTGTCTCCAGGAGTTTACTATTTAAGTACCTATTATAATTATCAACCTGTTAAATTATTATTATTAATTATTATTATTATTAGAGTTTATTTAGTGAAAAAATACAACAAATCTATTTGGCAGAAAATATTGACAAACATCACTGGGTCTTCATATATAATATAAACATTTTACTTACCTCCAGTAACAATGATATTTGCTTTTCCACAGTATGTGAAGGCATTAACTCCTCTTGGGACAGAAAACTCCCTGACAGGTCTGTAATCATAAACAAGACATTTGATCAGGTGGGAAATTTTTGTCAAAGTAGAATCTATAGCAATTCCAATCTGTTTTCCTGAAACTTGATACTGTGTGGTGGTTGGCAAGGGCTATTTTATCCAGACACACAGGTTGAACTGATGGCACAAAAATCAGTGTGGATGGGAAGGAGGGACTGTCTGTGCTGGGCACTCCTGGCAAAAACAGACAGATAGTATTATATCATGTTTAACGGGTTATTTTCACAATACTAAAGTATTTCTATATATAACATAGGCAGTACCTTATTAAAAGGAAATTGATTCATACATTTGTTTAAATTCAGTAACTAGCATTAGCAATAAAACTGCAGCAAGTTAGCTTTTCAGCTGAAATAGCATGATTTCTTATCTTGAATAGCTGAAGCAATGTAAGCCTGTAGCAAAGGGACCCCATTCCCCTGCAATAGCACCCTAAATTGAGTCCTAGAGGAATGAGGATGGCCTGCAACAGGAAGGCTGATGACATTCACTCCAGATATGAGTCCTGACCTATCCCACATCCTTGCAACCAGGCACCCTCTCTGATCCCTGCCACACATTTCCCTTCTTAGCTTCTTTGTAAAGAAAGAAGACAATCCCTTTCCAGGCATTAGCCACCTAGAAACTGCACAGTTCCATAAGGATTAGGACAACGAAAAACTACACTGATCACCAAGCTTTCTTCCCAACCAAACAGCAACAGTGGTTCCATAGTTAATTGGGATAGTCATTTTGTTTGCATCACAGAATTAAATGTTTGAGCCACAGTTATTTATACAGAATGGTCATTTAATATATTTCTATTTTTAGGGTTACAAAATTAATTTTAACATTTGTGTATTCTGCAAATGTCTAAATATAATTTCATCTAGCTCCTCTCTGAAGCTCCTTAGGGAAATGTACTTCTTCCAACAACAGGAGACACATGTAGAATAAATGTTTAATGAGAAAAAAACCCTAAAGGAACCTTTGCATTTAAATGATATATAACACAGTATCCAGTGGTGGTGCATCCACCCCGACTATATTTTTGACACTTTATCTCTCCCCCTCCTCACCTTTCTTGGGGTTATTTCCAACTTTCTAAACCTCTAAACATCTTCAAATAACATTTCCAGGCTCTGCTAGTGACCCAGTGAGTGACCTTGGTCAATTTGACCATTTTACTTTCTCTCATCTAAAAAATACACAGAATACCCATAAAACCAGAAGTTATGAGCTTGATGCAGGAATTACTGGAAATATATGGCCCGTGTTATGCAATGGGTGAAACTATATGACCATAATTGTTGCTTCTGCCCTTAAAATTCTACCTGACAAAGAGGCTGTGAGCGGATCTAATATTTAGAGATCCATGAATGAAAAGCATTACTTATAGTTTCTACTCATGTCAAATTTTGTATGCCCATATTATTTCATTTCTTAATTTTGTCATAACTCACTTTCCCCAAAATCACAATCTGGTATAAATCTAAGTACCAAAGCCAATTTAACCATGTCTTGTATAGCTTCATTAGTGATGTTCTTTAATAAGTTCAACTACATGTTAAACCACCAAAAATATTTAGTTCCTTACATATTCATATTAGGGCTGTCGATTAATTGCCATTAACTCACGTGATTAACTAAAAATAATAACTGCGATTAAAACAAGTAATTGTGATTAATCACAGTTTTAATTGCACTATTAAACAATAGAATACCAATTGAAATGTATTAAATATTTTGGATGGTTTTCTACATTTTCATATATATGGTATTCTGTGTTGTAATTGAAATCAAAGTGCATATTTTTATTACAAATATTTGCACTGTAAAATGGTAAACAAACAAAATAGTATTTTTTCAATTCATCTCATCATACAAGTAGTGCAATCTCTTTGTTGTGAAAGTGCAACTTACAAATGTTGATGTGTTTGTTACATGACTGCACTCAAAAACAAAACAATGTAAAACTTCAGAGCCTACAAGTCGACTCAGACCTGCTTCTTGTTCAGACAATCACAAAGACAAACAAGTTCGTTTGCATTTACAGGAGATAATGCTGCCCTCTTCTTATTTCCAATGTCACCAGAAAGTGAGAACAGGTATTTGCATGGCACTTTTGTAGGTGGCATTGCAAGGTATTTACGTGCCAGATATGCTAAACATTCGTATGCCCCTTCATTCTTCAGTCACCATTCCAGAGGACATGTTTCCATTCTGATGACGCTCGTTAAAAAAATAATGAGTTAATTAAATTTGTGACTGAACTCCTTGTGGGAAAATTGTATGTTCCCTGCTCTGTTTTACCCACATTCTGCCATATACTTCATGTTGTAGCAGTCTTGGATGATGACCCAACACATGTTGTTCATTTTAAGAACGCTTTCACTGCAGATTTGACAAAACACAAAGAAGGTACCAGTGTGAGATTTCTAAAGATAGCTATAGCACTCGACCCCAGGTTTAATAATTTGAAGTGCCTTCCAAAATCTGAGAGGGATGAGGTGTGGAGCATGCTTTCAGAAGTGTTAAAAGAGCAACACTCTGATGTGGAAACTACAGAACCTGAACCACCAAAAAAGAAAATCAACCTTCTGCTGGTGGCATCTGACTCAGATAATGAAAATGAACATGCGTCGGTCCACACTGCTTTGGATCATTATCAAGCAGAACCCGTCATCAGCATGGATGCGTGTCCCCTGGAATGGTGATTGAAGCATGAAGGGACACATGAATCTGTAATGTAAATATCTTGCGATGCTGGCTACAACAGTGTCATGAGAATGCCTGTTCTCACTTTCAGGTGACATAAATAAGAAGAGGACAGCATTACCTCCTGTAAATGCAAACAAACTTGTCTGTCTGAGCGACTGTCTGAACAAGAAGTAGGACTGAGTGGACTTGCAGGCTCTAAAATTTTACATTGTTTTATTTTTGAATGCAGGTTTTTTGTACATAATTCTACATTTGTAAGTTCAACTTTCATGATAAAGAGATTGCACTACAGTACTTCTATTCAGTGAATTGAAAAATTCTATTTTTTGTTTTTTACAGCACAAATATTTGTAATTAAAAATAAATATAAACTGAGCACTGTACACTTTGTATTCTGTGTTGTAATTGAAATAAATATATTTGAAAATGTAGAAAACATAAAAAAAATGAAATAAATGGTATTGTATTATTGTTTAGCAGTGCGATCACACAATTAATTTTTTTAAACATGCAATTAATTGCGATTAATATTTTTAATCACTTGACAGCCCTAATTCATATGCATTTTCATCATGAGCAAATTAATTAATGTGCAATATATTTGAATTTATGTAGAAAAGTAGGAAAGGAATATGCATTATTCTTCAAAATAAGTTATTACAGCAGTTCAAGTAAAATCATTCAGTTGTTTTGTTTGCTTGGTAAATTTGCCTACTGATGAAAACCCAAAGCAGACAGCTAACAACATTTATTTTTAAAGGTTATGTGAAAGAAAATAACATATGGACAGTCCTTGGCATTTAAAAGTTAATGAGCAAAAACCAATATAATTTTATGAGGGCTCATTCTGTAGAGCTTTGCATGACTAATTCCAATTAATTCCAATTATATCTTAGTTTTAATTAGCCATCTTTTACAAATGACATAGCTACTATAATTGTAGAATTTTGAAATGTACTAATTTCCCATGTGGCTCTTTCAATGAAGAGTTTGTGCTCCACTGTGACATGCATGGCTCTACTTACATGTTGTCTTCTAGTCTCTTTAAGTCATCCAAAACGAACGAATGAACACTGTCTAAGGAGCAGGATCCAAAACAATTCAGGACAGAGATAAACTTAACCTTCACAACCCAGTCATCATGGAGTTTTCGTTTAATACTGGGGAGAAAAAATAGGTGGTTATTGTATAATATATGCTGTGTATATTATAATAATAAGGACTTCCAGGTTGTCATTAAAAGTGCAGACCATGAACACTTGCAATTCAGAGCAAGAGAGGTGAGATACCTTAGATTCACCAGCTCCAAAGCCACAGACATTTAAAAGTTTACATAATGACACATTTCTTTCATTTGGAGACAGAGTAGGGCCTGCGGCACACAACTGAGCAGTTCTGATTCCATCTAATAGAGGATAATGGAGTTACACCAGGGTAAAGCTGGACTAAAGCAGTGGTGAACTGGGCCCATTGACTCTTACTCTGTAGCTGCTCTGTGTGCAGATCTCCCATTGAAAACGATGGAGTTGCCTTCACACAACAGCTAGAAAATCAGGATAATTGTTTTAAAAGCTATTGTCATTCTTATGTTAGGCCAGGTCAATTTTTAAGCACTTTTAGAAGCACAGATCATAGAGAACCACAGTTTAATTATCCAATGAAAAAACTGCTAAAATGATAGTATTTTACCACAAACAACTTACTTCTTGAATTTCCTGGAGTCCAGGATCTGTAATTGTGATTTCTTTTTGGCTTTGGATTGCTTTAGTCCAAAGTCATCACTGGTCACTGTAAAAAGGTTGACATGACCCCCATCATCTCCCATTAGGATGTCATCCTTAGCTAACTGATCTCCTAAATTCACCGTACAAACGCAGAGCAGACAATGTTCCATTGGTTTGATGATGAAGCAATTATCCTGTGAAATACAGTAAAGAGCTTATTTGATACTGCACATGAGCCCCAAAGAAACTGAGCATAATCTCTACCATGCTCATGCATGTACATTAACATCTAATTCTTGTCTCAAGGTTTTCAAAATCTTGTCATTCCAGATGTTTTGTGATACCATAGACTCATGCAGCTGGTAAATAAATGGGAGTTTTGCTACGGACTTCACCGGAGCTTGGATTTCACCCTGGATTCATCATCTGGATTCTACTATTCATTGACTTTATTGCCTCACTTTCTTTTGTATTCAACAGAATATGTACTTGCCATGCCTACCTTCTGTGAGTGTGAGAGAGCAAAATGCAACTGGCTTCCACTCAGAGCTATGTTGTTGAAACAATACACCACTTATGATATAACTGCTTGTATCCACACTGAGCATTGTGGGTTTATTCACATCATAGTACCTGAGAACTGATACTTTTGAGATAATTTCTTTTACCTTTTTGAAGGCAATTTCTTGATTTGACACCCACATTCAAGATGTGTAGGACTTTAATAGTTCATTCTGTGGTTTTATCACTATAGAAAGGTCTTGTAGATATTGACCAAGGTAATTTACATCCTCAGGACATATCTGAGTTTTGATACATTAGTTGGTGCATTCAGTTCTCAAACTTCTTTCACTTTCTCAGAGCTAGGACTCATTCCCTCTTTGTTTATTCTCTGTCCCAAAAAACTTGATTTGGGGTAGGCAGAAAACACAGTTTTCCTTATTTAGCTTCAGTCTGAACTGATTGATTAGGTTAGAACTTCGTTGAGGGCTCTGTTGTGTTCTTCCATCAAACACTCATATATCAAAATATTGTTCATTACAACTACAGATTTTCCAAAGAAACATGGGAGAACTATAAAGGAACACAAATGGAGATGTAGTTTTCATGAACAATTATGAAAGCTGTTAGTGTGTGATCCTTTGATCACACACACTCTGAATGCAAAGCTTTTCTCTTTGTAATTTATTTCTGTGATGAACTGGCCCATGCAGTTAGAACACCTCCAGAGCTGTGTCAGGTGACTTCAGCTCTAGGAGAGGTTGAAGATGATTGCAAGTCCCTTCTGAGATGACTGTGATACCTGCTCCTGAGTGAATTTTAAAGCCTATAAGCTTTCCATGAATATTCAGTTTCACTCTCCAGACAGGCTGTGTGTCATCACATGTGATAGATCCATAAGCAATGGCTCTTGATTGTCTATCATATGAGTCAACTCCCTGACTGCTTTGATGAAGCAAACTGCAAAATGACCATATTTTGTGCATTTATTACACCTTGCACCTCCAGTGAAACAAACATCTGTTGGGCTACGAATTTTTCCGCATCTTGTGCAAGTAGACTGAAAGGCTTTGGAGTTTGACTGGAATTTGACCCTCTTGGGCTGGGAGTTTCTGGTTTTTCAAGTTGCTCCTGCCTTTTGTTCTGCTGTTTGACCAGTTCAGACTGCTTTGCTATCTGTACAGCTGTGGCTAGGGTTTGGTCTGTTTTTAACGGTAGCTGCTGTTAAAGATTTTTATCTGTTAGCCCAATAACCATCCTGTCTCAGATATTTTCATGTTTTGCAAATCCAGGATCATAGTTGTCAGCCAATGGATGCAGAGCATTTATAAAACATTCAACATAGCTCCCTCGTTCTTGGATTCTCTGGTGAAAACATGCCCTTTCATAAACCACATTTCTCCAAGGTATAAAGTGCCCATCAAACATAGCCAGAACTCTTTCATAGTCACCTTTGTGACTGTCTTTAATAAAGTCAAAGGATTTAAAGAAATACTTTTCCTGCTTCCTCATAGCATAAATTAAAGAAGATACTTGAAACCTCCAGTTTCCTATGGCGCTTGTAGCAATTCAAAATCTTGCAAAATACTGCTTTCAGTGTGTCCATTGTGAAGGTTTGTCAAAGCTGAAGTTCTCTGGGGGCATTGAAGAGTGGCATGTTGATGAGATCCTGCAGCCTTTATTGCTTTTTCTTTCTGTTTGCAACTTTTGTTGCTATTCTTTATGTCTGCAATCTTTGTTGTTCCTTCTCTTTTTTTTTTGCAACCTTTGTTGCTGTTTTTCTTCTGTTTCTTGTTCTCCCGTGGCACTAATCACACTGCTGAAACCATATCACGTAATTCTTGTACATAGTAGGTTGCAACTAGCAGGTCAGGATTCTGTATCAGATACAGACTGACTATAGACCATGAGGAAGAGGATAGGTAGTGGGGAGGCTGATAGGAGTTGTAGTCTCCTGCTTAATAGATCCATCACACTATCAAGCTACTCCAAAAGAAGGCTGCATTAAACTTCTTTTGAAGACTTGTCCACTAGTCCTGAAGCCTCAAACATTTCACTTGCCCCAGAAGGCCATTCTATTTCTTTCTTTCTTTCTTTCTTTCTTTCTTTCTTTTTTTCTTTCTTTCTTTTTCTTAACTCTTCTGCAGGAACTCATTGTCACTCAAAAGAATTCACCCTACCAGGCAGTTGGAACAGGGCTATATGATGTGAACACAAGGATTCTTTAGTGTATTAGGTTTTCTTTAACATTTGCATGATCCAAAACAATACCTGGCAGCTGCCTTGTGATTTATAATCCCAGATGACAACAGTCCTTTCAGTTACAGCAACAACCCGTTTGAGCTGAGTAAGATAGTCGCATCCAGTAACCCAGGAACTATCCTGATGAAAGAAAAGGGATGGTTGAAAGATTTAGTCCATGAGTAGGGCTCCTAGGTGCTAGGATAATACAAATAATCATAGGATAAGGACCTTTTATTTTAAGGTTCTTGTACATTTGATTTCATGAAAGTGAAGAATTTACAATTTATAAATTTGTTAGAACCAGAGAGAGTGTCAGTAATGTAGTTTTGCCAACACACTTCTGTTTGACTTATTGTTACAGTGACCGTTATGGACTAGGTTAATAGGATCAAATTTGTTTTTATCTGGGGGTAAATCCAGCATCTCCCTTTGGCGCTGCCAAGGTCCCACTGGTGGTGGAACCAGTGCAATTCTGTTTTGCAATAGGAGAGGAAAGATGAGGGGACGCACCCCTTAAGTGTTGTGGATCCTAAATGTGCAGGGATTCCTTGCATAATAGCACAGAGGGTGCCAGTGAGGGTGATCTATGGGCATGTGAGGCCCACACAAGGGGGCCACATTACAAAAGCAAAGGGCTACTTTGAAAACTGAGCTAAAGTAGTTTTAATGGAACACTTCCAGAGCTGTCCCACAGGCTTGGGTGGGAGATGCCCACCTCAGACTGAATACTTAGGGTAGGTGCTGGGCCATGAATGTGAGCCTTGATGCAGGATTTGAACTTAGGTTTCTGGAGGTAAAAGGATAGGTCACTAATCCTTCAACCCACTATACAACCTTGACCTCTACATGCCCCAAGTTCACATATTTTCAGGGTTAAATCATCCCATTCTATCTACAGGCAGGATCTCAGATGAGTGACAGAAATGAAGAACTTTTATCACTACAGAGCAGAAATATTAGTATGCTGAGTTCTTCTAAATTCCTGTTAGTGCATTAGGAGAGATCCATCCCACCTCTCTGTTTAAGCAAATGAGATTCCTAAAGGAAGTGTCAGTTTGGCCCAAGAAGAGGAGCCACTGTTAGCTCGAAGTATCATAAATTTCTATTGTACTAGCATGGCTTTTAGTGAAATAAGGCCATTTTATGTAGAAAAGATATTTCACCCCTTGCATGAAATATATATAAATGTAGCCTCCTTATATGTGAACCCAGAAGCTAGGTGGATATACAGTATATCTTTCCATCTCCATCAATACGACAAGCAAGATTACTATTGTACAGGTCCCAGTGTAAACAACTGCACTTGAAAAACATCAGGTCAGATCCTTGGCTGGTGTTATTCAGGATAGTTCCCAGTGGCTCTAAAGGGAGCTCTGCTGATTTATACTAGCTGAGAACCTGGCTTATAACATGGATTTGGGACAACCTCTAGAAAATGCTAATTGCATTGGAAGTGTTTGGTAGGCAGCTGCTGCTACTGCTGGGACTTATGTTTCTGAGGAAACTGTCCCTACCCAGGAAGTGACTCTAGGAAGAGGATGCATAAAATAAGCACCAAGGGTGCTGTGAGAGCTGCTACTTCAGCTGCTGCTAGCACCCCAATTTCCACGGCTGGTCAGATTTTTTGATTCTGCTGTTATTTTAAAGGATCCAACACCTGATGCTACCGCACTGCTTATGCCTGGGGGAACTTCTTCCCTTCCCACCTTCCTGAAAATGTTACTGCTTCTGATTCAACCTTCAGACTTTATGGATGGGGAATATTTACCTACCAAATATCAACTATCACTCTGTGTGTGTGTGTGTCCCCGCACATGCTGCTCGTAACCCATTTCTGAGCGTTACTGATGGTGTACTCTATTGTAGGTAGCTGGGAAATGTTGGTGTTTCACAGGTTCTAATTATTGTTTGATAATTTTCACAGTCGGTCTTGTTACCCAAGAGTAGTGTGTGTATGTGGGGTCATTGTAGGCATTTGTAATAAATAATAACACTAGTTCATATACAGCACTTTTCATCAGCAGATATCAAAGCACTTTACCAAGGAGATATCATCCCCATTTTACAGATGAGGAAACTGAGGCATGGGGTGGTAAAGTGACTTGCCCAAGGTCACTCAGCAGGCCAGTGGCAGAGCTGGGAATAGAACTCAGATGTCCTGCATCTTGGTCCAGTACCCTCGGTGGCTAATATGTTAACAGGTAGGGAAAGGGTCTCCTTTATGGTTAGGTTTGTTATTCAATATTTATAGTACTGGGCCTGGAATTCTGTGACAAGGTAAAGGGTTAACAGGCTGTCAGATGGTTGCTCAAGGCAGAGTATAAAAGGAAGGGGAAGCTGAAACAAAGAAGAACTAAGAAGAAAGGTGTGTCTTTGCCCCTCATGGCTGGTTGGAGCAAGGAAAGCCCCTGGGAATTACTGACCAGTATCTTTCAGTTGATTTCTTTTTGTGTTGCAATTGTTGTGTGAGCAATAAAAAAAGTCCCAAAGACAGGGCCTTAAAAGACTAATGCCTGAAGCTTTAGTTCCCTTCCCTGGCTAGTGAATATGTTGACTAGCTTACAGTTGCATTTTAGCATGTCTAGGAAAAGTGAAAGAAAGAACGTCTATATAACTACAGGCTTGTCTACACCTAAAACGCTGCAGAGGTGCACCTGTGTTGCGATAGCACTTCAGTTAAGAAACTACCTGTGCAAACAGGAGGGGTTCTCCTGTCGGCATTCTCCTGTTGGTGTAGGTAATCCACCTCTCTGAGAGGTGGTAGCTAGGTCGACAGGAGAATTCTCATGATTTGAATAGCTCCAACTAGGCATTACTGGATTACTTCTAGTCAATTCCCTCCCTCCTGTGAGAAATTCTGTTCATTTACACCCATGGGTGGTGCGTATAAGAGGGTTGGGGAGGCTTAGCCTCACCAAAAAAGAGTGGCCCTGCAAGGGAAAAAAATGCTGTATGTGGCCCAGGCTCATCTCCCTTTGGAGCACTGCCACCAGAAGCTCCCTAGAAATGTAGGGGGCCACTGGTACCTGTGCTTTGACCCTGCCCGTGCTACATCTGCACTCTGCCCTGAGGCCCCGCTCCTGCTCGGCCTTTTCACCCCTGTGGCAGAGAGGAGCGAGCAGTAAATGGGACAGGGCCTTGGGAAAGAGGCGGAGAGGGGCGGGGCCTCAGGGGGTAGGGCCATGGTCCAGCCACTGCTGGCCCCCCTTTCTAGGGAGTTTCCGGCGCTTGCATAAGCCTCCCCAAATGAAAGAGTCGTGTGCCACCTACATTTACATCCTCTTGGGACACTCAGTCTCTAATGGACCTTCCTAATACAATCAGGGGAGGAGAAACCTGGTGTTTCAGAAGATAAATTACAGCAGTAATTTAAGGAGAAATCTTATAATACTAAAGACAAAAGAGAAGGAAACAAATATGTTTTCTCCTCCATGTAGTTACACATCCTTGTTGGGGATAATTAATTCTAGGGTGGAATTTTCAAAAGCATATAAGTGACTTAGGTGCACAAGCTCCAAAATTAATGGAATGTATGCTCCTAAATCACTTAAATTAGAATGGTAAGAATTTTTGGCAGTCAGAAATCATCACCTCCTGTAGCTAAAATATTTTATATATCACTGAAACTCTCCCTCTGCCTCCCCTTTTTATGGAAAAACTGTAACGTCTTTGATGACACAAAAAGATAGACATTTGTACATGTTGTTTATGCCACTGGCTCAGAAAAATGGATATTTAGACTGACACAAAGTGTGGAGGTTATTTTTCCAGCGCATGAAGTTTTAGTTTTACCAGAGATTACTCATTCCACTACCCAAGACAAAAATATTTTTAGCTTTGGTTCCCACTCTATAGTATGTTCATACGGATTTCAGACTCCTTTCTACCTACTGATGTCAGATAGCTCATAATACAATTCTGTATTTGTTTTACAATCACAAACAGCTGGACCATGCACCTTATGTAGAATAAGAATGAGAAATATAATAAATTATGAGTGATTTGTATTCAGTGGAATTGAAAGAGGAATTGTTAGTATTCTCTTAGATCTATGTATTCATTATTACTTCTGACTGAATGTAATCTTGGCTGTCTTTAACATTCAGAGTTAGACTATTTATTAAGAAAAAAGAGAGGCGATGTTGTGTGGGAATGCATTAGACTTTTCTGTGGATTTTTATGTAATGTGGAGGTTTTCTTTACAAAGAATATATTTTTTGCATCCTTTGTCTACTGGTAAGAGCAAAAGCCAGAAGTTATGCATGCCTTCACTTTTGTTAAATCACTGCTCACTTTATGTTGGAATTCACAAATTTAAAAAGTATTTGGTAAATCAGAGGAGATATAATTCTCTTCCCACAGATTTTGTGCAATTTAAAAGGAAATTATTGCTATGTTGCTCAGAATTGCACACAGGAACTTCAAAAAGAGGATACCACTTTGCATTTTTTATTTGCAGATCTCAATTTTTTACAAAGGTGAGTATCATTAACGTAACACCATTTTACAGATGGCTGGTATAGGCGCAGAGAGCTTATATGATTTTCCCAAGTTCACAGAGCAAGTAGCAGAGTTGGAGAGAGAACACAGGTCTTCTAATTCCTCCTCCACTGCCCTGCTGCCTGATGAGGCAGATAAAACTCAGTGCTTGAACGTTGCTTAGAAAAGACCTTAAACATTAAAGTGCCGTCTGTCTGTGTAGACACTAAGGGTATGATTACACTGTAATAAAAACCATGGCACCAATTCTCAGAATCTGGATCAGCTGACTCGGGCTGGCACTGTGGGGATATAAAAGTGCAGTGTAGACATTTGGCCTTGGACTGGAGCCCAGGCTATGAGATCCAACCCCCTTGCAGAGTCTCAGAGCCCTGGCTCCAGCCTGAGTGCAAATATCTACACTACAGTTTTATAGCCCAGGTACCCGAGGCCCGCAAGCTCAAGTCAGCTGACCTGGACCAGTCGCACCTATGCCATGCCATGGGTCTTTTATTGAGTATAGACATACCCTAAGCTTCCAGGGCAATATGGGCATTGAGAGCGTTATGCCCAGCTAGCAGCAGCTTGTATCTGTATGTGATTATAAATAAAAGACAGGATAGAGTTGATAGTGACAAGCAGATATTCTTTCCTGATCA